TTACTGGATAAAAAATCAACGGTTTGACGTGCTGTGTGACAGCTGGCGTTGTCATGATGAAGGATGATGCGACGATTTCGGTTTGTTCTACGCAATTCATTTATAACTTCTGGCAAACAAATTGTTGTATACCAATCAGTATTTACAGTCCTTCGATCCTCTAAAGCCATGATTGTCACACGTCCAGTATAACCGAAGAAACAAGCAATCATTTGCTTGGCAGCACTGCGTGAACGAACAACTTTTGTTGGTTTCGGTTCATTTTGATATACTCAAACAGTGAATTGTTTACTTTCGGGCTCATACGAATAGATCCATGTTTCCCCAGTAACGATGTTATAGACCAAATTTGACCGACCTCGGTTGAATTTCTTGAGCATTTCTTTGCTTCATTTAACACGAGCCTGTTTTTGAGCTTTGGTTAAATTGTGTGGGATCCAACGACTGCAAAGTTTCCGTACGCTCAAGTGATCATGCAAAATCGTATGTATTGCTTTCATGTCAATGCCTAAAGATGCCTGAATCTCGCGGTATGTTATATGCCGGTCTCGCTCAATTATTTCACGCACAGCATCAATATTAGTGGCAACAACAGACGTGGATGGACGACCTTCACGGAATTCATCACTAAGAAAGGTACATCCACGCTGGAATTCGGCAAACCAATTATGAACAGTTCTATTGGATGGTGCTTCATCCCCAAAAGCCAAATGAAGTAGATCGATGCATTGTTTCGGAGTTAGATTACATTTGTAATCGTAAAAAATCATTGCCCGAAAATTTTCTCGCGAAATTTCCATTTTTTTACAAAATAACTTCTTTTAAAATACTATGCAAACAAAACTAGTTGGTTTGGCTACAAATTGTCAATTGAATTATAGGTTAAAAACGTCTAATTTTATTCTGATAGTAGCAGAACGTTGGCGCCACGGGAAGTATTAGATTGCAGAAACTTTTCTAGCAGCCTACGTACTCTAAATGAATTTATAGATTTTAGAGGTTTCATCTCTAAAGGTGCCTTTCATGCTGACGTTCATTTTCGGCGTCAAAATAAGTCTCGTGATAAAAATTGACGAATCCAGCGTCAATTTTAATTACGTGACCTATTTGGATGCTGAACATAAGCGTCAAGCGTCAGCATGAAAAGACATCTTAAGGCAAAAGTTCTTCTACTGTAGGCATCCTTCTTTCTGTTAGTATAACTACCCAGTCAGAAATGACAATGGAATCAACATCAAATCAATGTCGATTTGACATCGAAATTATCCAATTTGATGTCGATTCAACATTGATTCAATTATCATCTCTCACTGGATATAAAATGTAAACTTAAACTGATGAGCCAATCAGATTATTGCTTTAGATTTACGTAATCTAACAGAACTAGAAATAGCAGTGAATTTATCCGTAAGACGGATTTCAACCGGTTGAAATTTGCCTTATGGATAAGTTTATTGCTATTTCTATTTTCGTTAGATTATATAGATCTAAAGTAATATCCTGATTGGCTCATCGGCTTAAGTTTACGTCTTGTTATTACTGTTACAGAAATTTTGTCTGTGGTAGCTTTAAGGCTATGGCACACAAAAAACTTAAGGTTTAAAACTTAAGGTTCAATCAACACGTTGGATTGACTATTGCTTACGTTATGGCTTTGGTTATGCTCTTACGTTAGGCCTAGTCTATGATCAATCAGGAGACGTTGTCGTATGTTGTGCGCATGCGTACAACCTCGATTTTTACGTGTCGGTTGCCGGGTGTCGTTTGGGAGATGGTCAGATTTCATCTTTTACGACTAATGACATCCGACATGCGTCATCCGACTTGATTATAGACGAGATCTTTTGGACTCTATTGATTCTACTGTGATTGGTCAATGCGCTTACTGCTTATGTTCTACTTAAGTATTTTTGTGTGCCATGGCCCTTTGTCTACGTCTATCTGTATTCATTTTCTTTTTATGTATGCGTGCGACCTTGGACAGGTAGGACCGACAGTTTTCTATCTCTGGTAGGAGTGAATAAAGAGCCTCACAGGGAGAGACAGTACAACTGATTTTGGAGATTCCCAATTAGAAATTCCGACAGCACTATTCTATTTCTCAACTTTGGATCTTGAGCAAATGTTATCCTTCAGCAACATCCTTTTTTATTTGAGTTGATGCATCTGTGAGCACTACACCTGACAGGCATTTTATAATATGCACAAATCCTGATATCTGAAATGTAAATTCATAGTTTTATTTCATATATATATGTATAATAAAGGAAGATATATACTTCCAAGATTAATAATATGTATTACTTACAAAGACCTTATTAATTGTAAAATTAAGAAGGAAATTGCAGTACAAGGTGACAAGCGTATAACGATTTTTGCAGTCATCTAACTGATTTAACCTAAACGTCATATCATGGTTCTACAGAGCTTTGCCCATGTCCAATCCGAGGTTACCGGGTCACATAATGCAATTTGCCACTTTTTCCCTGTAAGGCTCTCTAGAAGTGAGGTATCGCCATCGAGCGCCGCGATGAGATTTAAACTTTTGGACGATGCTGCCGCGCAAGTACTACCTTAAGTCCCGATTGCACTAATATTACTTTGACTTTAAGCGAGATTTAAAACTCTGTCTGTCTCATTTTAAAGCCAAAAATGAGACAGAGACAAAGAGAGTTTTAAGCCTCGCTTAAAATCAAAGTAATATTGGTGCAATCAAATGTTAGAGATGTAATGAGCGTGGAAACACAGGAAATTGCTCGCTAAACAATCAGGAAAATAATGTAACCAATTATAGAGTAGGATTGAGTACTGCAGGTAATATGAGTACTCTTTATATTTTTGCAACGATTGATACTAGTTATGCGAATGTTGTAAAAAGACGCATCTGTCTTCGTGACATTTCAATATGTTGCGAAGTTTGAACTAAATTTATGTACTTCGGATATTTATCATATTAAGGTCCAATTCCACAACTCACAGTTAACTCTTAACCGAGGTTCAACTTATTTCCCATCTCTTTCTAGAATTGGAAAGAAACAATGAATGAAGTTAAACGGTTAAGAGTTAACCATGAGTTGTGGAACTGAGCCTAAATAAATGGGTATGTTATTTTTTTTATTTCTTACGTTTTTTTCCTAACTAGTATACATAAAGTTCCCAATCTGCATTGCAATAAGGTATTTTGTTCTGCGTGTTAATGTTTGTAAAGTAAACAATGGTTCGCATTCAGCAGGCTCAACTGATGCGGAGCAGATCTCAACGGAGCTCAACGTCTTCTCGACGAGTCCTAATGAAAAATATTAGGTGAAAAAGTGATTGAACCAACGGTTTTTGAGATATGGAACATTTAAACTGTATTATTAAAAATTTTCTAAGTCTGACGTCAAAAATTTTTTAAAAGTACTTGATTTGAGTTCTGAATAGTTCTCAACAAGTTCTGTCGAAAAGTATCGGGACTCAAAGCGATTGGATCAACGGTTTGCGAGATACGCTACATGATTGGGAATTTTAATGGTTTTGATTGGTAAAGGATAAATTATCGAAGCGTCAAATTGGCTAAATCTCGAATTTATTGTAACAATTCATTACACTCTCAAAACGGAGCACGTCATAATTCGCTCATGTCTCTAAGTCGACTCTGTCGATCTCACGTCTTCGCTTTCGGTCGCACATCTAGAAACACGAATGCCAAATATTATTTCGCTTAACCTTGTTTAAAAATTTGAAAGATTCTGTTATACGCTGCGAGTAACTATTTAAATGGTAAATTATTAAAGATTAAAATTGATCAGAGCACCGATTACATATATTTTAGTAAGCCCAATAACAACAGGCATTCCGAGACTGCTAAAAGAAATTTACGTGTTTACAAGGTAATTGTCATTTTTGCGACCAATGATCTGTATAGCCGTTTCTATTCTGTGAAAGTTTGAGTGTGATATGTGTGTCATGTGTGTATGTATGAGTGTGCGTATGTGTCGTTGTCTCGTGCCAACGAATTCCGTGAAGACGGAATATCTATGACGCGATTGCCATAATCATGAAGGGTCATCACAAATTTTTTGAAAGTACTGAATAGTCCTGATTGGAGTTCTGGACAGTTCTCCAGCTCTGTTGAAAAGTATTGGGCCTCAAAGCGATTGGACCAAACGAGATACGCTACATGGGAAGTCATCGAAAATTTTTTAAGAGTACTGAATAATTCCGATTGAAATTCTGCACAGTTCTCGACGAGTTCTGTCAGAAAGTACGAGTATAAGGTGACAAAGCGATTGGATAGCTATACATACATGGAGATATGCGCTTTTGCAACCAATTTTTCAAATTTTGTTTTAAGTACATATCTCATTTTTTATTGGGTCTATGTTTTGCCCAGAACTATTCGATCTCGAATTTCGATAAGAAGTTAGCACCCTATTTTTAAAAAATTGTTTAAAAATTGTTATTAAACGAATCTTGCGTTAAAAAATACGGAGAACTCTTCGTCTCGTTGAAAGGAAGCAGGAACTAATCAGAACTTGTATCTAAAAATTGATTTTTCGAAAACTTTTAACTTTTTTTTATTTAAAAAAAATTTGTTTTATATATCAGGAACTCTAGGTATTTACGAAATGAAGCTATTGGGACGTTCAGAACTATTCGATCTCGATTTTCGATAAAAAGTTTTTTAAAAATTATTAAAAAATAATTATTAAGCGGAACTCTTGTTATAAATTATATAGAACTTTTCGTCTCGTCAAAAGAGGAAACGGGAACTCTATTCAGAACTTTTGAGTACTACAATTGGGATGCTAACTTCACATATCACCTCAGAAATAATAAAAACTGAAAGGAATATAATATTATTTGCTCTGTTCTAATTTATGCAACTGTAACGAAGTCAAGTTTGCAATACAAAATGAACAAATACGTTTGTACGTGAAATTGTGAATACATAATACGAACGATGAAAGATATCGGCGTTCTGACGATTTGTGTCACGCAATCTGTCTGCCTTTCAGGTATGGTGGCCCGGATTCGTATCAGGTGACAGAAAAATTTAACATTGATTGGGGCACGTATCTTGTAACAAACAAAAGTATTATATATGCTGCCATCGACGGTCGCGGCTCCGGATTAATGGGTAATGACATGCTGTTCGCCGGATATCGACGTCTCGGCACTGTCGAAATTATTGATCAGATCAACGTTACCAGGTAAGCCTACTGTTGTAAAATAATTCTGATTATGAACTTTTATTTTCCAAAAAATTATTTAATATTGATTGGAAGTTAAAGTAATTAAATCTTCCGAATCAATTGTATTAAATAATAATTTTCTGTTTTCACATCGGAAGTTTCAAAGTGAAATTTACTTTTAATAAGTAAAACCTTGAATTCTAATAAGAAAACACAGAGAAATGTCTTTTTCTGATTCTGATGAGTTTTTAATATGTTATAGTCTAAACTAAAATAAGGAATACGTATTTTTTACGCTCACTTAGGTGTAATCGTTTGTGAAAAAGTGAATTAGTTTCTTTTGAAACGAATATCATTGAAATAAATTCGATACGAGATCGAAAAATTTTTTAAATAAAAGTCGAATAGTTTCAAGAGTACTTTATTAATAGTAAAAAAAATGTTCAATCATTGTTATAAAGTTCTCTTGGAACTATTTAACTTTTATGAAAACTTCGACAATATTATGTTGTTTCTTCCTGGGTAATAATATAAATCGGAGCGTATGTCGACCATAAAGGCAGAGTAACAGAAGTGTAAGTAAATGTTCAAAGCAGCATAGATTAGAACAATGAAATATAAATGAAGCATAAAACATTTATAAAGCGTTTTACTCTTTATTTACATTTCATTGTTCCATATGCTGCTTATACTTCTGCTACTCTCCCTTTACATTCGACTTACATTCCTTCTAGTCTTACGCTTTATTTTCGCAAGGGTTTGAAAAAAATAAACTGATTTTTGTCAAAGGAGAGTTTTATCTCTTAAAAGTGCATACAGATCCGTGTAAAAAAAATGTCTTTTATTTTATTCTAATCTAAAATATATCAAAGTTAACATCTCTCTGCATTTTTGTGTAAATAAATTTATTTTATTAAATGTCAGAAAAACGAATTCTCCGCTAAACCCGTTTAATGTATCTTCCTCAGTTTTTTTTTTAAGAAGGATCAAACTTAAATAGTAAGCATAGTCATATTTCCCCCCTCCCCACACACACACACACACGCGCGCGCTCGCATACACGCACGCATACATGCACACGCACACACACACGCGCACGCACACACACACACGCACGCGCGCGCGCACACACGCACGAGCACGCGCACACACGCACGAGCACGCGCACGCACACGCGCACGCACACGCGCACGCACACGCACGCACATAGAGTATAAAGCGCATATTACATTTACGCCACGTATACATAGAAGACGCATTATAACGTTAACCCAAAATTGCCTCTGACACCAGCCGCCGAGATAACTCTTGACGGTAATGTTAATGAATGAACGCAGATCATCGCAGGCAGAATCTGAGGCCAAACGCGCTCGTCCCCTAGAAGTGTTACGCGAACAAAGTTTTGCTTTAGGACAAACCTAATTACAGACGAAGCTTCAAAGTGACTTATCATGGCGCGATAGGAGTAATTTGCTAAGCCCTAAGTTAACTAATCTAAGTACGGTTCCCTCGACGCGTCCGAGGACCGTATTTAACGTTTAACGAAGTTCTTTTCACGGCGTAGGCACCTGAGAGAGATAGAATGGGAAAGAGAGAGTACCGCCGCCGCCGCGTTAACAAGAAGAAAATTGCTCGTACTTTTATCTGAATTTATTGGCTGACCTTCTCCACTGCTGTCGAGTGGCGGTTACGAAGAAGAGCTGCGTTCTCTTATTTCCATTTAGCTGCCAGGAGTAATTTATCCGACGGCGGGAAAAGAGAGTAAGAGAGAGTTGACGGGGGGGGG